TAGATTTCTTAAAAATTTTTTATTAGATATTTCTGTAATTTATGATTACATAAGACATGTGCTGGCTATATGCTAGTCAGTTATTTTTAAAATGCATTGAAATTTACAAGTTTATAGAAATAATAAAATACAAGAAAATACTAATATATAAGAAGTTAAAACTAATATTGTTGATACTGTTAAATTAATGGTTATTTTTAACTAAAATATAAAGTTAGCGTTGTTAAATTTTTTAATAAATTAATAAATCAAATTTTTTGAGAAAATTAATTTTTTTATATATATTTGTTAATTTTGAAACAGATAATCTCAAAAGTAAAGAAAGAAACATAAGTTATATCGCTAATACTTTTTAAAAAAATTATTGATGTAATCAAAACATATTTATAAACACATATATATTAAGGAGAATTTCACATGTATGATATTTACTTATTAATACTCACTTATTAATTTCTAATAAATTTCATTTGTAGAAATTTGACTATATCATTTAAACATACCTCAAAGTACGTACTATTTGATGCTAAGACCAATTTGTGAACACGTAGCTTTTGTTCTTCACATACAAGTGTTACATCAACAAGTGCCTGACGTGCCAATAGTCTACTAAATTTCTCTGAAATGTATCTTGCATGATCAGCCCATTGCAGGACACAGCATTTAGCTCTCTCGACCATTGTATCTGCATGTGGAGAAAAACAGAAAAAAAAAATGGTAGGGTTAGAATAGATTTAGTGGTGAATGAAATCAGAATTGCATAACATATTTTAATTAGCAAATTAATAATATTTGTAAAGGCACCTACTGAAATATTATTAAAATGCTAGTTTTCCTCTATCAAGAGTAGTTTGAAAAAAAGTACTAAAACCCTTGATTAAATGCGTGTGATCAATTTTGATTAATATCGGATAATAACATAGCGCGTTTGTATACTTTCTGGCGACTTTCATGAAGCACCACAGGGAGTATCGGTTTGTAAAATCAATCAGTTTAAACAACATTTGCTCACTAACGCGTTCAAATGCACGAAACTAGGACGTAAACGAAACTCAAAAATTGGCCATCTTACATCGAGATATAGATATAGATACTCTACGTCCGCCTACGAATATATTTCTCAACATAGAATAACGATAGCATAACCTCGAATAACCTCAAATAGATTCCATGCGCTGCCATCTTACGGCAAATTATGAGTTGCAAAACGTTGAAATAAAATACGTTATTGTTACAAGTTATTAATAATTTCATTTACTGAAAGTGCTCGTTAGTGCGTGGTGTAAATTACTTTTTGCAGATCGTTCATTTTCGAAATTTCGAAGCCAAATTCATTTTTCTAAATGAGATAATTATTTCTTAAAACGTATTCAGTGACTTGCATACGAGGTCTTTTGTCGTTAAAAATTAATGAATTATTATTTAAAATTCAATGAAATTAAATTTAAAAAAAAATCGTACAGCTAGTTTTAAGAGCTCACTGTAAAAGGGAGATTTCAATTTTCAAGATCATAATTGATCTAATTATGAAAAAAAAATGGTTTAGTGAAAAATCTTTCCGGCGTCATGTTTGAATTTTTACGATTTCGAGGAGAAAAGTATTCTTACTTTTACACTTGCTGTGTGATGTAAAATATCTTTAAACGAATCAAACTTAAGATTATTAAAATACAGACTTCATTATTTAAAATAAAATCAAGTTAATTGTTCTATCATTTTTGTTCAGAAAATTAAGTTTAAAGTATTCACAATTTTTCATTTAGTGTATGAATATTTTTGTTCTTTTTTAAGAATTTCTCATGAATTTTGTGTATTTAATTTAGACCAGAGTTTTTTTATTTTTTATTCCACGTTAACATTTTATGCGAAATGCGTGCGTGTTGGGTTTAAATTAGTCAAAGATTACAGCGCCAACGGCGAAATGCGTAATACACTTCCTACGATTCTTGAACTTGAAATCGATATCTCTTATGATCGATCTTAAACCGAGAAGTGGCGGTTAATAATGGCGGAAAGAAGCACACCTCATCTGTAAAGAATATTATCCAGAAAGAAGTATCGTTCAGAAGTTTTCAGGCAAAAATTTAAATCAATAGTTGTTAGTTTGTATTTGTACTTTGAAATTTTAAGATAAAACATACGTTTTTGTAAGTACCCAACTCAAGGTAAGATTTAACCAAATAATTATTACATATAATTTTCAAGAATTAAAGAAATAATAGTACATAAACATTTAAACAGAACATACTATGCTAAAAGTTATTTATAATTGTATACCAACACTTAATTTCTATTCTAACTAGTAGAAATATTATAACCTTATAATTGACTAATTCATTGTTTTATATATATATATATATATATATATATATATGTCTATTTTCTACTTATTTGTTGATTCTTCAACTTCATACTTAGTAGTAGTTCTTAACAATTCTAATACTAAAAAACAATAACTTATTAAGAATGTACATATTTAATAGTTAAAATAATTTTACTGTAATATAATGAATAGTGTGATATAATGAAATTTTTCTGGTCTTAAATATAGTAAGGCGTAGGTCTTGAAGCTCGAAATTCGTAGTTCTTAACAACATAAACACAACGCTTACACGTGTGTATAAGGCTCTTGACTTTCGACTAAACGTGCCGAAGTCAACACAATGTTTATATTCGTCTTAATTATCGTGCCTATTCGTTCAAGATATATTTCTCAATTGCGAGACGAGACGTGTCGCGGAGAGTCATTCGGTTATCGAATTTCGTGACAACAACACGTATTACGTATATATATATAATAAACTATATATAAATATATATAAATATATAAATTTAAAATATATAATATAATATAATTATAATAAACTATAAAATAAAAACTATTTCAAATTATTAGAGTCCCAATTTTTATCATTATTAAAATTTAAATTTTCACAAATAACACTGTGTTTTATGCTTTTCAAGAAATGTTTCACGGCATTCTCTTCCATCGTGGGATTCTCAGTATCTGCTTGATGAGGATCTTCACGACAACTTTCCTTGGTCCAGTGCAGCATCGATATAACATTCTTCATGTCTATCGCGTGAGTCGCATGCATTTATGTTCCTCTGGTCACTCAATCATGTCGTAGGACGAAAGGTCCAAATCGGCACGGGTGACTGGTTGTATACGTAGAANATAGGTAGCTTACTTTCTGGTATGAATGTGTTTAATTATAAGTAGGTAGGGCCGGGCAGGTTGGCACAGTCTCTGGTCGCGTGTCTCCCTTTCGCGTGTCCAACCTGTTTCAGGAAATTTAATTTGAAAAATCGACAGTGAAATTGGTACAAATTGAGCATGCCACTTGTTCCTGTTTTTATTTTTCGATTTTTCGAATTTAGTATCGCGATCGCGGTCGCGGGTAGGTCGCGTGTAGGTCCCGAAACGAATGTTCATGTAGGTATAGCTCGAGCACGCACATTCGAACGGCCAACGATCACTATGATCGATGGTCGTCCATGTGTATTGGTTAGATTTCGCGATTTATATTATTATTTCACCTTTATTTTTTAGTTTGCGATTAGAAAGACTCGAGCTAGACGTAAGTTTCAGCGGGCATTGCGCTCGAAGAAAGAAGAGGCTAAAAGCCGAAGAGACCCGGCAAACTGCCACGAAGAGGGTCACAGCAAATGGCTTCTCATCCTCTGGATTATTTAAAGGATTCCAGAGCATGGGAAGTCATTCTCGTTACTACTTTGTCACTATGCTCTTTTAGTATTTGTAGTTGTACTTTTTTTCCTCTTCATTATCGTACATCATCGTTTTGGGCATGTCGCGATTTCTTTTTTGTTAGTGTTGCGACAAATTAATTACGGGTTGAAGTAGAGTTGCGAGGTAGTTTTGTACCTGTTTATTAGTGTTATTGAGAAATTATTTACGGTTTAAGTTAGAGTTGCGAAGAAATGATGATCGTGTTTGCTTTAGAGTTGCGAATTATGATACCGTGATTTTTGATTGTGAGTTTTTGAAGTTATCTTAGAGTTATACATAGTAAAATTTATCTTGTTTCCTTTTGTTTTAAATTAGATATAGAGTCGCTGTTTTTGATTAATTTTAATTAATTAGAGTGTTAGAATATTTGAAGTTGTTTGTTCATACAGTAGCTTTTATATTGTCAATAATAATTTTCATTCAATTTAGTTTTAGAGTTAGTGTTGCGACATTATTTCATCGCGATTTCCTATTAGTGTTGCGATAAGGAATGATCACTTTTTTTGAAGTAGCGTTGCGTTTATAAAATGCCCAAATTTTTCCACTGAATTCGTGGAAGTCTGCTTCTGCTTCTGAATCACCGGATGCAGCTATAAAAGCTGTACAGAGGTGGTCATTCATCAGCAACCTCCAGGATGGTTGTACTGGACGCGTTGTAATTAGTGTTGCGCATTTTTAAACATGAGTGCATAGATTAATAGCGTTGCGTACTTATCTTCGGGAGTTTTAAAAACGACGAAGCACTCTTCGCGTTTGATTTTGAAAATTTCCTATTTCATAATTAATAGCGTACTAGAGAGTTAGTGTTGCAAAACAAGATACGATTTGTTGCTCGGATGTAGATTTGACAGGAGCCATTCTGGTTATTGAGAGTAGGAAGTGTTCTTTTAGTAGCCCTTTTGGCTACTGTATCACGATTTTTTTTTCATTAGCTTACTTTCATTAGCTGGCTATTGTTTTAGATTTTCTTTGTCAGTAGCTCTTCCGGTTACTGTGTTAGGTTTTCTTTTCCAACACTCCTTGTTGCCCCGTTTGTTACTGAAAATACTGCTAATAAAATATATATTTCTTTATTAACTACAACTTTGTTAAATTTTAAATTAACATATATTCACATATATGAAAGTGTGACTGATTCTTCTTCGAAGATGTAATAATGAAATCTCTATATTAGAGTATAGAAATATTAATTTTTAGGGTTAGAAATTTTGATTTTTTATTATTGAATTAGAAATTAAAATTAAGATGCTTATTATATTATTGTTAAATTTTTATTCGATTAAGCAGTAATTAAGATGATATAAATGAAGTTCTCCTCTTTACAGATAAAAGTTATTTGTAAATTTTATCAGATCTTGATAAATTTACATTGTATATAATTGTATTGTTTATTCAAATTTAAATTACATATATAATAGCAATTATACATAGGTAAAAGCTTTGTACCTTTAATAAATAAAGAAAATTATAACAACAAATTATTATTAAATCCAAGTTATTATTATTAAATCTAATTCTCTTAATAACTTCACATAATTTATATTTTAGTATATAATAATCTTTCATTTTATTGTTAGAAGTCCTGGTATTATTTATATGTCTAAACCAAGCAGTGTGTCATTGGTTTAAAATATAGCTTGTAAACACTCCGGAAAATTAAAAATTCTTTTTCATATTTCTAAATTGTTAATACTTTTGTACAATTCAAAATTCAAGTTCAACCGAAAGGGGAGTAGTAGTGTTGACTGCATAAGCTTGAATAATTTTCAGTTCCTCTTTTGGCAGATTTTCCATAAGCCAAGCATCAATTACTGGAAGGTTCTTTTCGTTCCATTCTTTTATTTCTGTTTTGGAAGTTTTTTCATTCATAAGATCGGGTGGAAATTCTTCTGAATGGCTTTCGTACAATTTATGAACTAAATCTAAACCCTTTTGACAGGTAAATGAAGAAGTTGCAGATTCTATCATGCGGTACCAAAGGTGTTTTTTATCTTCAAATCTCTGTTTCACTGTATCCCAGTTATCAGTTAAAAAGTTGAGAAGAGTTGTGTAACCAGCTGCTCCACCACTTAATGTAACAAAAATTAGTTGGATATCTGAATCAGTAAAGTTTCCATTCTGATCGAGAATTGTTACATTTAACAACCTGAAATATAAAGGAAAATACAAGATGTAATATTGTTATTGTTTCATCAGAAACAAAAAAGAATTTATATATACTCTTTGGTATACTTTCAATACAGTTTTATCTAGCAAGCTAGATATATTTAAAAATAGTTAACAACATTTACGAAGAGAAAATGAAGAAAATACTGAATTATATTTTAATTAAAATTATATCTAATTCTGTTATTTAATTCTTAGATAATGTAAAAATTATAATAGCGATACATTCTCAAATTAACTGAAGATTATACCTTTCAATTTTATATGTGTCTTTTGGACAACCAGCTAAGGATTTCAAGAGATATGTGCGTTCATTTTGTTTCCTTTCTGGACTATTTTGAGGGAAGTTTATAACACGTTGAAGTCCAAATTCCCATTCCTCTTCAGAACCCCATTTAAATACTGGACAAATAAATTCATTGGCAACTCTGAAATAAAAAATAGAAATTTATATCATTACTATGGTAATAATAATAATAATAATTTATATAAAATGTCATAAAAACAAAGTCATTTTTGGCTGCAGTTGTTGTTTCGTAAATTATGAATAAAGTATTTCATATATCCATTGAAATTTTGAAATTCTCATTAAAGTTTTGCAGAGATACATAAGTTAAGCAGCTTGCTATTTCTAAATTTCTGATTTGAAATCATCAACTTTGTGAAAGAACACTGATGAACAACGTTTTGATGTATTTTGATACAATCGAAGTAACTATAATTTTTGTAAATATGCATTTTTATAAATATAAATTAAAGTAACTATGATTTTCATAAATGTAAATGTTTACAAACAAAGTTACAAGGGTAAGAAAGTTACGAACGGATTTCCTTTATCTGGTTCCTTATCCGTCAGCCACTTTTTGTACTGATCCCTTGCTTCGTTAACACATGGTTCGTATCCAGCACGACAAAGGAAATTTTTCGCCATTCCTCGCATGTGAGTTTTCCAAGATGGTTCATTCTGTTCTATAGTTTTATTAAGTTCTTCGTATAGAGGCTTCAATAAAGTGCGTATATATGCCTAAAATAATAATAATAAATCTCACTGGTTCGTAAGTTCTCGCAATATTCAAATTTTATAGTAATTCGCTTCGCACAGTAAACGTTTAGTAAAAATTTAATGAAAACTGATAAATCATAACAAACAATATTTGCGTGTGTTTTGATCGGAAAATTTTTAAGATTAAATTTTAACGATGAAAAGAAATTTATGATTTTTGATTATGATATGATTATGATAAAGCGCTGTATAAAGACCCGATAGAAATATATATTTGAAGTTGTACGTACGTAAATAAAAAAATATTTACCTCAAATTTCGGATATACATCGAAACCCTCGATACGTCTACCGATATGATCGATCATCATAAAGACTGGTTCCCATACGACGTGACTTCTTTCTTCTTTCAAAAACAGAGTCATATTTAATGCAATCCCGAAGCATAATTCTCCAGAATATGCTAGATTCCAAGAATCGTGAAGGAGTTTTGCTCTGGTTAAAACCGGAATCCTTTCTCGGTCTGGTCCTTGTAAATACTGCGATAACATTTTCCAGTTGCAGGAGTCATAGTTTACCGGGAACATACCTGTATTTAATCATCTTAAATAGTATTGTTGGGTTATACGTAACCATAGTGATTTATGCCAAATTACTGAAATAATATTAAAAGCTCTTTTCAATAATGTTCTGTACAGTGATGTGTAAGTCAAATTGTGCCAATGAAACTACTAAGAAGAAATATTAAATCCTTTAGTGTTAGAAACAGTTTTGTAATAACTTCATCAAATATAATAAATATTCAACTTTTAAACGTAATAATTGACTTCTGTTTCCGAGGAACTTAATGCATTCAACAGTACAATTTAAGCTATTTGGTTTTGTTTTGTATTTTCCGGTCTCCGCGATAGATATTAATAATAAAACGAAGTAAAACTACAAGTTCCAAAGTGATTTAACTTTGGAATCCAAATTATTGTGTTGTGTCTAATATTCAGTGATACTGATTAAGAATATTTTAAGATAATATCTTTTATATGTGTTTAATCTCACTTAGGCTGTATATCGTAAGATTTCCATAAGATAGTTTTGAAAAAGAAATACTAATATAAATTTTTAGTAATTTATTTAATATAAAGATATTTCGTTAATTATTTAAACTTTGGCAGTAGAAAATAGTGTTTTCTCTTAATTGTAATTTTCATACCTATTTCCTCCGGATTGACAATGATAAACTGATTTTCGTTGGCGATATCTGTCAAATTCTTTGCTTTAATTCCTTTTGTCAACCATAGGCGACAAGGTGCTTGAAATTCCAATTTTTCTTGGGACATCATTACTATCGGTATATCCCATTCATAAGAAACTTTAGGAGCGGAGGCTCGTGCAGCTTCCCTGAGGTAGACTTTCTGCAAACATAGAATAACGCAAACAATTTAATTATAAATTAAATTATATTAAATTAATTATATTATCCCATTTACTCTTCGAAGTTGTACAAAACTGAAGAGTGATAATTGCTAGGGAAAAGTGATGTATTGAATAGTACTAATAATATTAATTATTACAATATTACAATGTTATTTGAAATGTGTAGACTGTTATGATTAGATTGCAGATTTTTATGAAAATTTATATTTTTGAATTCGTTTTTCTTCCTAAATTTTTGATGAAAATTTAGCCTTCGAATTCGTTTATCTTCTTAAAGTACTAAATTACAAGAAATAACTTTGTTCAACGACAAAAAATTCTGGTTAATTATCTAGTATTTAATAATAGTATCTTATTTAATAATAGTTCTCGTTTACAGATTGTACTTGTTGTAGAGAAAAGTCAACAATTATTCTTGATATTAGTTTCATGTCTAAATTATTCATAAAAGTATTCAGATGCTCATGGTAATTTTTAATAAACATATTATACGTATTATTTTGGAAACATTTCGAAATTTCATTAACTTGTAACGAAGTACGACTGTATTGGTAAAATTTATAACAAATCTGAAGATGTATATGGAAATTAAAAGATATTTAATACGCGTATATGCATACTTTGCTGAGGTCACAAACGTCTAAACAAATATAATCTTTTATATCAATGAGCCAGAATACTCAGTGAGATCATTTTTAACACGTATATGCTGAAGATAAATCATTATATTTAAAGTGTGCCATATATACTAACACAATAAGTTAATGTAGAGATATAGAGCCACGATATTTGTACATAAATCTCATACACATATTAATACACTGTGATCATATATTTAAGTATACAATATTGGCCATATTAAGATTAATGTATACTAATTTTTTTTTTACTATACGTTTGCAATAAATATCTCTTCTATATGTATTCAAATTTCATCAATGTAATCACGGCATTTGTGTTATATCACAGTGTTAATAGAATTTTACATAATATATACATAAAGTTTCTGCTATTGTAAGAGTTCAAATACTTTCATGAATGGCTGTATACTGTGTGCTATAATTATCCTTGCTATTTCTGTGTTGAACGTGTAACCTCAGGCTCTGAGATATGCGCATAGTAATGTAGCCGATAATTATCCACAATCGTATATAAATGCATTTCAGAGGAAAAGTTATCAGGTTCTAAAGTTTTTATTTCAATTATATTACATCACTAAGATTACTTAAATGGTTTCTCTGAAGATGGGGCGGTATTTTTTCCATCTTCAAGGACAGAGTCTTTCTCATCGTGTTGCTACGTTTATCCGATAAACGGTACGTCCGTCCGGTTTAAGTTATAGTCACGTTTGTACAAAAGATAATTCTTTTAATCAGTAGTAAATTTAGAAAAACCTCGAACGAAGAAGCTATGAACTAAACTACTAGTTTTGAAACACAAAATATGATACACGATCCGATTTTGACCGTGTGACTTCTATCCCTGAGTGAAAAATCACAATAAATTGCATTTTAATGAAAATAAAAAATAATATCACGAACATTGGTGGATAACTCCTCTATTATTCTCTAAAATTGGAATAAAATCGATATAGTAGATTTGATTTTTAACTTCAGTTTCTGTTTCTTTATTATCGATCATTCTATAGAATCATAATTGTAAAATTGCAATGGAATCGATCTAAGATGAGAAAGTTCTCTTTTCTTTGTAAATATTACTAATAGATATTGACATTAATATTTTCCCCGTTAAAATATTTACGACAATTAACTCTCGGTTTCGACCGATCTTTACTCGCACAGATACTCTTGCTACTTATGCAATCGAACAGAATCGACTTTATTCAAAGTGCTTAGAAATAAATTCAGCACCTCGTTTCCTCCTCATTGATGCATTATCCGTGGGAAAATCATGCTGTCGTTAGGTGTTTTCGCGTCCCTGAGCAGGTGAACAGCGTTACCGTGCTCGGTAAGATTACGGATACATAACGTGTACTTGGGTAAGCGTATACATACTTGGCTAAGCGTAATTGTTTGAGTTTCATATTCGCGAATGACAGTGACCAATGGTACCCTATCACGATTAGTCCATGGCCCCGCGATAGAATTGACTGTCAAGCCGTTTGGTAAAATGTCCATTTCAGCCGCGACATCGTTCAATCGGCTGTAAATGTCATCTGCGAAAAAGGTTCGTTGATTTCTGAAAAGAATCACGTTTAACGGGTGAATGAAATTAGGTGAAAGATGAGATTGAGAAGAATAGCCGGGAAGCAAGGTTTCTCAAATTGATTTACATTCTGATAAACGAGCTACTCATTTGCCAAAGTAATTAACTTTACGATACAAAAGATAGAGAAATTGATAAAATTGTGTGTGTATATGTATATATATTCTCTTTTAAAATTTATTTTGAAATTGAATTGATTCAAATGAACATTTGTAGAATTACAATGTCTGTTACAAGCGTAACTTTTGTCTACTGAAATATAAAATACCTAAAACAGTGTTATGCTGTATTAACTTTTGAAATAAGTCATTTGTTATTATTTCACGGTCGGGAAAATTTTTGTCATTTAACGATGTCAAGCCTAATTATCGAGGAGAATTTATTTGAAATATGAAAAAATTGATCAATGATTGAGAGTGGACTGAAATTTAAAAAAGTTCAAAAGATGGTGTTACTCAATTTCGCTTATAAGCGCGGTTTTCATTCTTATTTTGAAAATTTCACGTTTCGCGGGAAATTAAATATTAAATATAACATGAGGCCAATAAACAAAAAAAAAGGAAACTACATACTACTCTTTGCAAATCAGTTAAAAATATTTCAAAATTATTTACTGTAAATTCACAACTAAATTATTTGAAAAGTATTTCGTATATTTTTTCAATAATTATTATTTCAATATAATACTGCATGTTTAATAAATTATTAAACTTTCGTTATTACATTTGCTTCCCGGCTAACTGATAAAAACAATTACTACTCTTCCGAATTTTGTCGAATGAAATTTCGAACGCCTTTCTGGAACAGATCTTTGCCTAGAGTGTAATTGAACATCCTGAATACCAGTTCCGCTGGAAGAAGAGAAAAAAAAAAATGACATAATTAGTCTTATGCAATTAGAAGCAACTCGCCGAGTTAATTACACGACAATTTGCTTTCAATACCGTATAAAATTAGTGGACACTTCAAACGGTAAATCTTATTAAATGTTACTCACATGATGTTTCTTATTACGCAATCATTTTCGATATCGACATCAAAAATCGAAATTTTATTAAATTCTTGCAACAGAAATTACTATATATGATATACGTATATGATAATTTAGGCCTGTGATATTTGTTACATTAACTTTGAATATTGACTGTAATTATATTGTACTATAAACCCGAAGTAGTGTCTGATTTTTAACATTCAGACACTCTTAGATTTATCATTACTGATTTCAAGGTCTGACAGTTTCATTAAAATCCTACTTTTCGCCGATGTAGCTTCGTTTCTGATGCCACCGACCCTTGAGAAAGGTTCGAACTTTCCAAATTCGTAATAAAGGGAATATAACATGGTCATTGGCCATTTTCCTTCCATTTCGTCTGGATTGAGCTGTAACAGACATGTTGCTTCTCTGATTAATTTCTTGATCCTTCGTGTGTAAACGAATAGAACACGATCTATACGTACGTTCACCGTCGTCATCGAGGCTAAGAACGAATTCAGTGCTTTGTTAACAGGTGCATCGCTCCAACGAAATGGTGTGATGTATTGACCGATCCATTGGTAAATCAATTCGTAGGCTGTATTCCAAATAGATGGGCTGCTCAGTTCACTTTCTCTGTCAATCAAATTATCCTTATTTTATAATATAATTAGCGAGATCCGGCTTATTTAATTCGAAAAAGTATCTTCGAACATATCCTGTCCAGGTCGTGTAAAATCCGTAAAACACCTCCAATATTTAATAATTAAAAAAAAAAGCAATTTTGGAAACAGTAAATTAAATTTTAAGTATCACGTGTCTCATTGTGATTTCAAATTAATAATATCAAAAATTCTTGTAGAAATAATTAAAACTGTGGATTTTTGTGCACTTAAAATTGCACGGTACACACTTTATGTGAAAAAATACATAAAATATTCAAAGTACAGTGATTTTTAGTATCTGAGGCAACTTTCTATCGGGGTTCTATTTTCTTAATCACATTCTAAAAAATTTGAATTTACATAAAAATCCACAGTCTAATGATGTTTGTTATTTTTGTTGGTCAAACGATAATGTTTTATATTCAACTGCGCGATACAAATCATTCCTCGTGAAAATATTTTATAACAAGAAATGTTTGTGTAAATTAGTGAGATTCATTTGTTTCATTACGTTTGTGCAAAAGTTATTGATTTTGTTTTTATACCATCGAACATAGGTAATTTTAAACAAAGTTTCGATTCTTCATCGTTCTGCAAGTTATTTGGTAGTTGTTGGTAATTAATCCACGATACAGGTATCGATATGCTGTTATTCAAAGAGCAAATTGTTAATAAAACTGATTAATTAACAGCAAGAACATCAAATTTTATAGATAATTTTTGACGTGTTATTTTGTGAATTTAATTTCTATTAAAATGTACATATGTCTTATTCAAATTTCGGATGATTCACATTGCTGTGTCTCGACAGTCGTTGATATCAAGTTCTGTAAATTTTTTTTATATATTATGATAAGACTATTAATTACTTTTTCGTTGACACATTTTTGAATAATTTCTCAAATGGATGTTCCGTGAAATTTTCTTCCAGATTTCAATAAAATCCTATACTTAATATTCCTTATATTAATATTTCGTAAAGCATGGCAATTATATACTAAACATAATTTGTTAGCTTAAAATCAACGCAAGACAAACTATTAATAGAAAAAAAAGTTACAAAAAGATACAAGATAATCTGTGGTACTCTTTGAAATAAAAAATAAATTTTTAGTTAGTTTTGTCTGTCAAATTTAACATTATTTTAGGATATTACTTTCAAAATTACAAATTATAAACGTTTTCATTTAAAAAAGTAGTAAAATGTAGCTATAAATATATATTACACCAATACCAATATATATTACACCATTACCAATTATATACAAATTTGACGTAAAAATATTTGCTAAAATTTATTTATAAATAGGAATATTCATACACCTTTCAAATAGGAATATTCATAATTAATCACATTAAATAATATTAATACTTGCTGACATAAAAAAATGTGTGTATATATTTTATTAAAAAAATCTGCATCGATTTATAACATCAAAAATTTTTTCAATTTCATAGATATATCGTAGTAAGGCAATTAATGATAATAAAATTATAATATAATAAAAAATGTTCTATTGTTTTTTTGATATGCTATTGTCTTTTATTTTAATAAATTGAGGAGGAACGAGTCAAAATTGTGAAAAATCTGTAAGAAAGAAATGGCTACTGACGTATTCGAGGTGAAAACTTTCAAAACAAATTTCTAAAATCGCGTTGGAACATCAAAAGCTAGATATTTATCGAAATGCTGATAACGCGAGTCGATATATACATATTTCTACCTTACTATTCACTGTCAAACTCTTTCTTGATACTCTGCAACGTTTTGTCGAATTGTAGGAAAATGATGTTTCTTTTTTGAGATATCTTATTTAGTATTTCCTAAAATGGTCCAACGGTTGAAAAAAATATGCAACGTTAGTGTGGTCAAATAGCAAAGTTCTCCTTGCAGTTTATAAAATCTTGTATGATCAACAGAAACAGAGTAAATTAGATAATATACATACTTGAAGAACATCAGGCCCCAACTGTCAGATGCTTTGGTAGCACCGTACGAAGGGACCGCTACCAAATCGAGTTTCGGTAAAACAATCGAGCTGTTGAAGTAGTCCTGCAAATAATTTATAATCCTGACAACTTTGTCAGGAACGTCTGACAAAGAGTCCAAGAATTCCTTTCGTCCCCACACGTTGATCTTGAGCTTTCTTCCATCCATTTCATTGATTTCCTGCGTAGGAGAGATGTTCTGGAAATCCGACACTATCAAAGCTAACTGGTACGTCGATATTTGCGGCGTCAGCTCAAAATGATCCCAAACTAAATTCGGGTCCTCGGTTCTGCGCAAGGAGAATATTTTTTTTTTCTTCATCGTGGAATCTAACGCTCTAACGACTTTTAATTGGAGAATTCAACGCTTAGATCGTGAGAAACAATCAGAGCGCGGGTTTTCTACGAGTTTAATTTAACAAAAAAAATGGGCACTAAAGGGAAATTTATTTCATCTGCTGAATATTGTAACGAACATTCTGTTATTTATTCTAATTTTTCCACCTTCAATTTTCTCACTTGCATATAGTGAATGTCCCGTAATTGTAATCAGTGTAATTAAAATTTTCATAATATTCTCTTTAGCTTCAATGTTGAAATAGTTGGTAAAATTTTTGTTATAATTTTTTTAGACGAACAACGTGTTACAATTATATATTTTACACAATACAGTGCAAAGATCAATCCTCTCAGTATTCAAGCGATTTTTGTCTTACTTTAATACTTTGAATAATTTCTGCGCATTCGAATATTTCGGCTTTTCTCGTTAACATCTTATTTTCACAGAATGCAAACATATTTTTCTGTTTCCGCGACAGCGGTTATAAATAATAATATATAGGAAAATTTGCAAGTGTTACTAAGAGTTACTTAGTTTTATTTCTCAGAAATTTACATTCGAATTACTTACGAGTCTGTGATAAGTTCTAACGGAGTGTTCGAAAGGGCAGTCATGTTCTTTGGCCGTAAGACGCTGAGTTTGAAGGCCGCTTTGTAAGGAGGTTCGTCCATGCAAGGGAAAACAGTCTGTGCATTGTCCAATCTGAGGTTTGTAGCTACGAAGGAACTAGAGAAGAGAGCAACGACTGAGTGAGGAACTCGTTCCCCTTAGTCACAGTAATTGAAACCTTGTAATTTATAATTACTGTTTCTTTCCATTGGAGTCGGAATATTCATGTCTGAATAAGCCGCTGGTTTCGTCGGTAGTCAGATTTCCGGTAAAAGCGAGATTTATCTCGCAGCTGCTACCGTTCTTCAACATCTGTTCGAGATAAATTGCGTAGCTGGATTGCCATTGATTGCGACGGCTGACCCTCGCAACGTTTACATCCATCAGCGGCAAACCTTTTTCCCTTTTTTTTTTTTTTTTTTTTTTTTTTTTTCAATAACCACAGATGATATTAGTTTCGGGGAATAATTTCAAGATCAATGAAGTAGATCTGAATGGAGATGTTATTATTTAATCGTTAGTTCTCTTAATGTGTAATTAATTAGTGACGATGGAATATTTGACAATATTCTTGAAATTAACATTCATCACCAATTTATTTATAATTGGTTCGTATCTATGATCAAACATTCAGATTTCAAAATATTTATTTTTATTTTGAAACAGAGATAATCAAATAAGGAAAAATGAGAGATTAGTTTTCTAGTGATGCTATTTTGAAAACTTATTGGCACATTATAATACGATATATTAGAGTTATTAATTATAAATATATAGATAATCATTAATATATATATATATATATATATATATAGTAGTAATAGATATTAAATTTATTAATTATAACGTTCTAAAATTGTTCTAAAATTCTTTCTCAAAAAAACTTTCAACACTTTTCCGATTTATAGAGGTAGTTTCTCGAGTGATCCAATATAGAGTGCTTTCATCTACGATTTTATTCACTTACCTCTCTTCAAACGATGCCTGAATGATCTTAACATTGTAGTTGGTGATCGCTAGGTCCGGATGAGCATTTAAAACGATCGTGTCACTGATATCTGTCCAAGTGACGTCGATGCTGACTCGACCGTTGAATTTGTCGTTTCCGATGAAAGGTTCAAGCTCTACGTGATAACTGATGGGCACTACTTCCGTTGGTAATCTGCGTTGATTTACTTTCGATAGGTAAACATCGTTCAGGTCTATACTGCGTTTCGCTTCAGTCTGCAAAAATGAATTTTCAATGAACTCTTACAACACTTTCGCGATCTGAACGATTTATCGTGTCAACTGTACATATTCTGGCTGTTTGTCAAAATAAAATGGAATTCACAACAGTTATTTCTTTAAATAATTTTACGTTCGCATAAATTACGACAACGATTATTTTCTCTTTGGAATTCCACAAATTACATCCGGTTATCTTATTTTATTCTTCTAGAATTTGTTGCATTTGTCGTACAATATTATTTCTCGGAAAAATGTGCGGAGAAGTTTGTTTCGTTTAAAAATGTCAAAACGAGAGTTTGAAGCTTTTGATTTGAAGTGTGTGTCGAATGAATGTAAAAGAGTCCCACCATGAGACTCTTAAATTTTAAATAATTTTAAAGTGATTTTACTTACACGGGCTTCGATATCCCGTGGAAAGATGAAGATCAGGAAAAAGCCAGCGATTGCTGCTATCCACCTCATGGTTCTCCTGCAGAGTAAAACTAGTTATTTAGTTGAATTTCAGCCTGTTGTACAAAACCAAACGAAACTGGATTACTTCATCCAGAAGTTATTTCGTTAAATATTAACTGATATTTCATATTATACCAATTAATGTTTCAATAATACTAAGAACGTTAGGACGAATGCTGGAAGGAAATTTTGATTAAATTTTAGTATTTAAAGTTTTAAATACAGTAGGATCTTAATTAACAAATAAATCGAGATTCGGCAGATGATCAAGACTAAAATTCTTTAAATTCCTCATTGAAACTACACTCTGAGGGGAAAAGTAAAATTTCGAAAATTCAAAATAAACGCAGATATTCGACAGTATTTTAAAACAGTGGAGTATTTCGTGTTTATAAATTAAGATTGCCAATTTTATTTTCGCATACCAACGTTTGTGTCTTAACGAATACAATGGTATTTTATACCTCGAAGGTTACGATAATTTTGAGAATATGATAAATAGCCGAGAGAATAGGAAATTGTTTTGTGCGCTAAATATTATAAAAAAAAGATTATATCTTTTTTCATTGTGTATTATGTGAAATTTCACATTTGAAAATACATAAAATATATAAAAATCCGCAGTTTAATAATGATATAATAATATTAAGAACATATGATAACATGTTTGGGATACATCGATATCAAAATCGTAAGGAAGGAAAAATTTTATTCTTCAAACTGTGAGGTTGGAAAGTCCGTCTTTCTAAATTCTGAAATTTCTATCAGAGATATTAAATCAAGAAAATCACTGATCTTTATAACATAATAGGGCACGTAAGCTTTTATTCATACATATAACGAGAAATTATTTAAGTCTCCAAAAATACAGCGTTTTACTATAAAATTTCTAACAAACATTATAAATTGGTCATTTTGACTACTTGGATAATTCTAGTGTTAAAAAGGCTATCTATTATATTTTATATCTTCTAAAATTTCTAACAAACATTATAAATTGGCCATTTTGACTACTTGGATAATTCTAGCGTTGAAAAGGCCATCTATTATGTTTTTATATCGTATTTTAGACTAGATTAAAGTACAAAACTTTTTTCAAACAAATTCGAAAAAGTTTGTAACGAAATAAAGGATATAAACTTTTGTTCATATATTTTACGAAAGATCATTCAAGTCTTTAAAAGTGCACCGTTGTCAGTTTACGAAAGTTACTCCGAAGCAAATTATGCATTGGTAATTTTGGCCATTTTGCTAGTTCTAATGTTTCAACTAGGTTCCAAGTGGATTGTTGTACGATTTTCTTTTCTTCATAAAGTTATAACTGGACTACGGATGTTCCATACTTGTATATTTTCAAAATAAATTGAAAAATGGACCCCATGTAGAAACCTATTTTACATATTTTACATATTATAAATATATCATAACAAGCATTGTACTTGAAGCAGTTTGTGTTCAATAAATGCATAAAAGTTTGCATCCAAGTTTTTCATGAATGCATAAAAATCCGCAATCCAGTTCTAACCAGAGCCTCCAAGACATCGGCAATTTTTCATGTTCAGTATATTTATACTTTTCGTTCGTCACCGTAACACGCAGGCCCTGTCTGTCCCACTTTATCCGTTCGTATAATTAATATCACGAGGCGTGGGTTTCTCGGGATATTCCTATAGCCAATCGATAGCCAATAATAATCGAACTACACAGTATCATTCCAGTATTTCGCGGCACCGACGCCTCTCACGTCGAAACTTACTTGGCGATCCTTATCCAACACGTCCGTACTTGCATGCGGTGGACAACGATCTAACACCGATGTGACACGCCTATTTCGAAGTATCGTCGCTTACGACCGTTTCGATCGAAGCTGTCGTTTGACCTTGATACCGCCAGCCAAGTATATCCCAAGTATTTGCGAATGCGAAAGGACCGCGTTCGGACGCGGTCGTTGGCCAACTGCCCTCCAGCTGGATCAGCCGGCTCACGGATCACGATCCACTTGAGACGAAGCGAAAGAAAACGTTGAAACGAAAAACGTTGCGTGCGTAGGTACGTGCGCGCGAAACGAAAAGGAAAAGAGGAAAAGAAGAAAGAGAAAAGGGAAGGAAAGAAATTGTAACAGAGCGCGTGGGGGATGAAAAACGTTTGAACGGACCACGTGACGGAGATAGCCCGTGGCATTCGGATTGGTGTCCGAAGCACGGATTCAAAGCGCTTAGATCCACTTAGCCGCGTAATCGGCTGGGATCGTCCATTATCCAATTCCGTCGGACAGACGTCACAAAAGGGCCTAATCACGGCCGGTAACCGTCGGTGACGGACGCGAAGCGCAACGTCAATGGCCAATCCCGAAAGGCATCAATGGAAATTGAGATGCCACAAGCTACTTTGTGAATCCTCCGGCACCTCCCGAGTCTGTCACCGATTCTCCAACTAGAAACCATTGTGTGTTCGTTTAATGTTTGAAAAGCCCGAGCAATTCAGGTCTCTTCTGGTGGTCGCCGGCGCGCGCGTTTCCGATTCGATGTCAATTGGGATTGATAGGCCTCCCCCCACGGGTTTTTGTGTGTAAGGTTTTCCTTGCGAGCGTTTGTAGGCCAGCCAGGCCACTCGCGTCGCTCGTGTCACGATTTGATGTTGCAAGGTGGAAGCGGGGAGATTCGTTAGCTCGAGAGAGAAAGAGAGAGAGAGAGAGAGAGAGACCCGTTGTCGGTTTCTTTTGATTCGATCACGTCGATCTAATTACTTCAATCTGGTTTAAGTGGCCCGCGTGCCGCATGGTATACAGATTGTTGTTTGTGTTTCGAATGTGCGATGCCACAAATAAATTACGTTCATGAATAAGGAAAGTCTGTGTGTTTGTTTTATGTTTATCAATTGTTTGTTACTCTTCCGGGCGTTCCTTGTTTTTTTAAACTCAACTTTGTTCCTTGGTATAAATCCAAATTGATGTGGTAGCAAGAGATTAATACCTACGACGGAAAGATAAATGATTGGGTTTGCAAATTCTTTTATTTTTAACGAAAAATAAGTTTAAATTTTTGGTTCAAGCTAGCGACATGCTGACTAGATGGACGAATGATAGATAACTCGGATTGAATGTGAATTAATTTTGAATTAAAGGGGATTTAATCTTCATTCAAAGCATTAGAATTTTGATATTTGCGATGATAGGTTTGTATTGTGAAATTATTTGCGCTCAAAAGCCAATCAATGTAAGTCATTTCTCATGAGAAATAATTTACGCCAAGCAAATATCCTTTTTTGTTATTAAAAATGTAAACAGTTTAGTCATTATAATACAGTAATTATTATGATATTATAACTAAAACTATTCCATGAATTGAAGATTTTCATCAAATATATTTGCACGGGGCAAGTAATTTTTAATAAAGAATGACTTATATTGTTTGGCTTATGAGTCCAATTTAATAGTCATATCAATGGTTAATCACATTCTAATTATTCAATAATTGTATACGTGAAATGATCGTTTGTGTAATTATTTGAAAACGTAACTCGTAAAGTTTAGTTATTTCACTTGATTTGTTAATTTGACAATTTATTCTTTATATTACTCTGTTATTCTGTTTATTATAGTTTATAACGAGACTAGAATGTTTGTGAAAAATTTAAGAATGTAAAAATTCACAAAATACATATCGCGTGCAAAAATAAATATATATAACTCCGAAATGCTGTAGTTACCTAGTGGTAAAATATAATATAACGCATATAATATTTAGTTTTTTTTTTTTGTATAAACATTATTTAACAGAGGAGAATTTTATTGTAAAAATCTATACGAATTTTTTTTTATTTAATACATTTATAATGTATTATATATAATACATTATATAATAATGTATGTTTATGCAAATTTCGATTTTCAATCTAAAAATATGCTTTATTTAAAATATCATTTTAAAATATTTGAATATTTCGTATATTCTTTTATATTATATTCTGTCTATTTTTGCAGTTTTAAATTTCCCATAAGCGTATGGAAGTCCACAGTCTATTTATAAATCCATTAATTAGGTAGTTTATCATTTAATTTGAAACAAAATTTTATTCAGAGAAAATATCAAAGGGTTGTGAAACGTGTATGTAGCTGTAGGCAAGATAAGAATGCATTCGATGAAAGAAGTTTGCACATTTTTCAAGATGCAAGGGAGAATACAGGTCAAAGAATATTGCATGCCAGGAGCAAGCTTACAAGATTTTAGACGACATCTTCGTTTATGGCCTGCTTTTGAAATGAATTAATATAAAATGGCAGAAGTTATCATAGATTTAGCAAATAAAATGAAATGGTACAAATAAATTCAAGAAATGGTCAAGATAAAATGGTCGAAGTAAGTCGATTGAATGTCATTGCAATTTTACTGGAAACTAAACTACTAAATGATATTAAACACTAATATCAAACTAACTAATTAAACTATACTAGAACTAAAAATATCTACCAAATGAATAATCTTCCGATAATAAACAGTTTAACATATATATATATATATAATATAATATAATATTATAATATTTAATAATATATAATATATAATATATATAATATATAATATATATTATTTAATATATTTCTCATCGGATCGATGTTGTCTATAAAAATAAAATATATATATATATATTTTTTTACAGACAACATCGATCCGATAAGAAATATATTAAAACCATTTAAGATTAAAAAAAGAGCGAGTTTGAAATCTCCGAGAGAACTTATTACTCTCAATTATATCGAACGGCTTTCGTTCGAACAGAACATTTCTAAACTTTGTCCCCAAAAACTCCCGAAAGATATTCAAATTGCTAATTCGCTGTTTCTCAAATTTTGTCAGCATGTGCGTGTAATTTCAAGTGTGAGGTGTGCTTTTTGCCGTGCGACACGGCGTAACGCGAGGAGATGAGAAACAAGAAAAGCAAGAAAGGATTGCACAGAAAGAATAGAGCGATTCCGCGGCAACGATTGAAAAAAAGTGGGGGCACAACGTGCATTCGATGTGTTGGCCAGCATTGTCGTCTTGCATTGTAGGTAGAACGACTAATTGCGTGCCACCTGTTCGAACGAGATAGGTGCGCTACCGTGGAACGCAAAAAGCTTGCCACTTACGAGAAGAATCTCTTTTCGCTGCTTGGATCTTCGTCGCGGTGTATCTATCTCCCCGTGTATCGCCACGTGACTGACACATCTCTATTTTTTTTTTTTTTTTTTTTGTACGTGTCGTCCCATCGCGCGCGATCGCACGCGTTTTCAAATCGGATAGCACCGGAAGCTGAAGTTCACATGAGTCGAGGATCCGTTTCCAGTTGGCAGGATTATGGACGCAGAAGTTGTAAGTGACATCAGTTTCCTTACGTTGTATTTCACATTGAGAGTATGTCGTACAGCATGTCGAGGATATTTATACGGAAACTTTTACGAACGGTGGAATTTAATAGATGCTCGTTCTAGGTGTTGGATTCTTATTTCATTATCATTTTATACTTGTTATTTCATACTTGTATGAACAAATGGATATTCCACGAAGGGAAGAAGTAGAACTTCAGCAGATATTTCTTTTATTGAAACTGGATATTTCGTATTTTATTGTCGCCTGTTGCGTTCAATTTTTCATTTTTCATTTTCATACAGATGTATATTTTACGAATGGAATCGAAGAAATAGAACTTTAGATATTTAATTCACATTTCAAGTTAATTTTTATTTTCCCTTTGTTAGATTAGAAATTGATATAAACTCGTGCTTTAAGAGTAGAATTAAAACGACAGAACCTCAGCAGATATTTTTTGGATATTTTATCATTGAATATTTTTTATATTTTTTATATGTTGCATTATTGTATATTATTAGCGCATTCTGAGCGTTTTAGTATTTAAAAAAAAAAGTAAACACATAAATATCCGCTGTGTAATATGTAGTTAAATCTCGTTGAAGATATATTTTAACGTTCTTTTAGTAACTTGTTTGACGATTTATAGCGTAACGATTTATAGTGAAACGTATTTATAGCGTAACTAATTGTCCAATAATTTTTTTAAATGTTTCAAAAAGTATGAAATATTTTAAAGTATAAGAGTATATTACGTAAAACGTATTATGTAACAATTATTTCCTAAATGGGAATTGTAAAGAAAGTTATAGCAATAATTAAAGAGTGGAAATAATACGGCTGTCAAAGTGTCAAAAATAGTTTTTTTTTAGATTAATCCTGCTGCAATCATTTTTGATCCACTTTCTCTAAAATTAAAAAATATCTCAAGTTTAAACAAAGTACGAAAAAATTCTCATCCATGATTCCTCGATTATGTTTCATCTTAAACTTCTTCTTAAAATATCTTCTTAAATATCTTTGTAAATCCTCTTTATTTGCAAAACTGAGTATAACATTGGAATTTAAAAAATTCGAGGGTTCGCAGCAAGATTAATATTCCAAAGACCCATTAATTAACAATAAAAAGAATTTTACATTTCAAGAGAAGATGATTAGATGGTTTACATGAAACGGTAGGAAAGATCAGTATCCTTTGATTAGAATGACCAGATTGATATAATTGAAAATTGAGAATATTGAACATACGAAATACAGACAATTGTATAAATTTTGATAATACTTCCCTCCATATTTTCTGATCTCGACCTCCGCATAAACAAGCAGAAAGTTTTTTTTCCAAAATTTACAGCGTTGTTTCAATTCCACCTTTTCAATTATTGATAATTTATTGAAACATGGAAGAATAGATGCTTCAAGTTACGGCTAGTTTTAATTCATATGCACAAGTACCTGCTTTGCAATTGTTATCGTGGTATTTATCGTTAGAATGTTTTTTTCGCTATCCATTCTCCGACAGTCATTAAATTCTATCGTCAGCTAGTTAGGAATTCAAAAATGAAACAGCGTACACGCGGAACACGTATGGAAGGAAAACATTTAAGATGATAAGTGAATGAAAGAGTTAGC